GGATGAAGCTTTGTTGGTTTGAATTGAGTCAAGGTGTTATTTTATTTTTCTTGTTCTCCATAACAACTAAACAGGGGAAAGTTTTTTTAATGATTTGTTTCCTCTTCTTGGCCAGTTTACTGAATCTTCATTTTAGATTTTAGTTAGTGAAGCTAGTATTATGACAAGGCATTGGTATTTTTCTGAGTTTTGAATTTTAGATACCTTAAGAGTTAAGAGTCAATACTATTGATTGCTTGTGATTAATTTGTCAGTGAATGTGCTTTGAGTTAATTTGATTTCCACTGATTGCTTTGAGTTAATTTGATTTCCACTGAATGTGTTGAGGAGGCTTTTTATGTCACTGACTGAGTAATGCAGTGTCTTTCCATAAATTTGGGGACCTTTTCCCAGGAACTGTGCATATTAAAGATGTTGGAGCTATTGCGGGAAAGAACTATGCTCTTAATGTTCCACTGAATGATGGAATAGATGATGAGAGCTTCCGTAGTTTATTTCGTCCCATTATCCAAAAGGTCATGGAGGTCTATCAGCCAGATGCTGTTGTTCTTCAATGTGGGGCAGATTCATTGGCTGGTGACAGGTTAGGTTGCTTCAATTTGTCTGTGAAAGGGCATGCGGATTGTCTTCGTTTCCTGAGATCGTTCAATGTTCCTCTAATGGTTTTGGGTGGTGGAGGGTATACAATGCGGAATGTTGCCCGCTGTTGGTGCTATGAGGTCTCTCTCTCTCTCTCTTCTCCTCCACCTTCCCTCCCCCCACACCCCATGGGTGTACCCCTTGCCACATGTCTATTTTTGTGCTGTTTCTCTTCTTTTTTCCTTGTATCAAATTAACCATTCATATTTGTGTCAGGAGTATCCTCTGAGGTATAATTTGTTACTTGGTTGCAGACAGCAGTTGCAGTTGATGTGGAACCTGATAATAACTTACCTTACAATGAGTATTACGAGTACTTTGGCCCAGATTATACTCTTCATTTGGAACCAAAACCGATGGATAATCTGAACTCACCAAGAGATCTGGAGAAGATCAGGTTCATTGCACTAAATTAATTCACACATATATTTGGATGAAGATTCTGATGTTTAGTACCTATTTTGGAAGAGACTTAAAGTACACTGGTATCTCCTGTTGCTAAAACTTCGGATATTTTGTCCTCCCTTCAAGTTTTCTCTACTGGCCAATTGAATCTAATCTAAATAGCGATCCACTCATACAGATTCTTACCCTATTCTGTTACCTTTTCACCTTGGCGACACGATTTTTCCTGTAGTCCTGCCACACCACTATTATCCATTCTTACCACACCACTATTCTTCATTCTCACCATCAACCCAGCCCAAATTGAACAGGTTTTTATTGAGAAATTTCAAGCTGCAACATGGTTTATTGTCTGCTTGCCAGTTCTTGAAAAAGTTGTGATTTATGTCTACCATTGTTTGCATCTTTCTGGTAATCTTTTACTCTGCCTCGTCCTTCTTGGTTTTCTATCTTTCAATAATAATATTCTTCACTAAATTTAGCTGTCAATTGAAAGGACATTTACAGTTCTTGGCTTTTTCCAAGTTGGTCGATAAATTTACAAGCTATGAAAAATTTAAAACGTCATTCACATCTCCTGCCTTGCTGCCATATTGCTGTTCATTTAATTAGAATTGGTTGGGTAATTTCTTCTGTCTATTTTCGGTACATAATCACGTATCATATGTGAAATAATTTTGATTAATATTGGAATTGCAGAAATTTCCTGCTTGATCAAGTTTCTAAGCTACAACATGTACCTAGTGTTCCTTTTCAGACAACACCTCCAACTACCGAAGTACCAGAAGAGGTGAGTAATGCAGTGCCAAAGGCCTTAAATTGGGTTATATAATCTAAATTATTTTCCTTGCATATATTTTGATAACACTGGAAGATATCCACTTTGCAGACAGAACAAGACATGGAAGAGAGAGTGAAACCTCGGATTTGGAATGGTGAGGTTTACGAGTCTGATGTTGAAGAAGATCCGCCTATGCAGTGAAGTTTAGATAGACAGATATACATTTAAACCATAAACTGAACTGAGGTGTGGGCTCAGGTTGGCATCTTCAGCATCTAGAGTTTGTTCACTGTTTTCCAGAGTACTTCTGTTTGAATGGGGGGCTAGACATTCGGTGTTTCTTGAACAGAACACAAAAAACTCTACTTTCATACCAGTGGAAGAGAGCGAAAAAACTGACTTCTATGTGTATCAGTATGATGAAGACGAATACATTGCATTATCACTTGTGCGAGTATGAGGAATGATGATTTCTTATTAACTGGCTATACTTTGCATATTCAGTTATACTTGTCTTCTGAAAAACTTGTAAACAAAGTGAGAGAGGAAGAACGAGACCTGAAATGGTAATTCTGGCAGAGCCTGAGTGAAATCTAATAAATACAGATGTAAACCGAGTATACTTTTTCTATGTTGCTTTGAGATGATGTGTCGGTGCCTGACATGTAGTGAACAGAGACATACGTAGGACACACATCTCGAAAATGGAACGTGGAGTGTTGATTTTTAGGTTTTTTTTTTAGATCTCAAATGTTCTTGAATGTGTTTACTTTAGAGCTTGTTTGGAAGATATTTTTTGAAAAGAAAATTTATTTTATAAAAGAATGCGTGGTTATAAAGTAGAGAAAAGTCACGAGTCTCATAGAATGTGTAGTTGAAAATAAATTTAGAGGAAAATGAATTTCCAAGATTCTCTTTCAAATTCTACTTTAGATTGTTACTTTGAAAATTGAAAGTAGCTCATTAGGCTTTAGCCACTAGAATAATAGATATTTTTTTATGTGGAAATTACTCAAAATCTTAGGTAGTGTTCTCTTTGTGTTTCAGTTTTTTATTTTGAGTTTTGAATTCATTTTGGGTTTTATATTTTGAGTGTCCATTTTAAAAATGCGGAAAACGCATTCTTTTTGTCATTTTGAAAATTTCAAAAAAAAAAAAATGAAGTTTTGGCTTGATTTTAACTGAAAACAGTTAAAACAATTTTTTTGGCGCTTTCCGTTTTCTTTATAAATTTTAAACTCTTTTTGGAAATTCATTTCTAAAAATAGGTAAGTAAACGAGTTTTCGATATTTTTAAAAATTGAAAATGACCTGAAAACAGCAAAGAGAACACACTCTTAGCCATTAGCTAAAAAAATGATTAAAATTTAAATTAAAGTCAACTGTTAATTTTGATCACATATTGTATGAAACCGTTAACTTTTAACTATATATTTCATCAACTTTTATCAAAATTTACTAAAAATTTAATTTTTATCCAAAAGCGGAAAAAATGGACTTTGTTTTACCATGTGGATTTGTGGATTGTGTAATTGACAGCCATCTTTGAATTGTACATAAAAATCTGAGTACTGCTTTATAACGCTGTAGATTCATTAATATTTCTTGTTTCTTCACTCGTGAAGCAGTATAAGACAGTTATCGGAGATGCAGCAAAAAACCAAGAGACAGTTTTTCAAAGAAATCATAACAAATTTTACACCTTACAACACTATTGATAATGGAGAAATATACTAATTAATAGCACGTTTCAAGCACTGTTGCTCCCGGTTGAATTTGCTGGTATGAGTTCTCTCAACATAGCTACATGGACGTTGTATCATCCGGAAAACCATGGGAAATCATCAACACACTGCAGTGTTATCTCTAAGTACCTTACCATCTCTTTGATTTGTTCTGCTTCTGCTTCGTCGCTACTTTTAGTAACTGAAAGTAACTCTTGATCTATTACTTCCATTCCTTTTCCTTCTCTCACCTTCATTTTCACCCATCCAACTAGATTGGTGTCACCAAAATCTTCCTTATCTGTAG